CCCCTGAATCCTGTAATCCCCTCCGACTCCCCCAATGGTCACCACCCCCCATTTCAATATATTACTTATGTACAGAACCCTGAAGGCCTCCAGACAGCTCTGATGTCTGCAAGCGCACCCCTGCCTCTGCTGGGCTATTTAGTTGCCTACCCTGCAAGTCCACCTTTGGCCCACACCCTCCATTCCACTCCTGGGTTATTATCCGTTAAACCTGTAACCTGAGTCACCAGTAATATTCAGTTGGCTAACCCTTGACCCTGTTATGTCAGGTCTGCCTGGCCCCTGCCAATTATGGGCCTGCTGCTGTAATGGGTCTATCAATCTAGACTCGCAACTCAGGTCTGGGGGGGGTAGGTGTCTCTCTTTGTCAGATAGATGTTATGGTCCTTGGGAGTATGGTGCTGATACTCTCTCTAACAACTGTCTCTACTGTCTTCTCTACTGTCTGTACAGTTGTCTGGAAAGAGCCAATACAAATACAAATGGAAAGTCAGATGCATGAATGAATGAAAATAGTAAGAAAATAAAGAGAATGCCATATCTCCTCAACCACTACACCAAATCCGACGATCTTGGGCTCATCAGAACCACCTCCACAGTCTCTACAACTCCTACTATTAAGGGGGTGAAGTGTGCAATAAATGTTGGTTTGGCCTGCATGGACTTGTCCCCACACACCACCTAGACTCCCATTGTATCTATATACTGTACCCACATGACCAACTACCTGTCACGCATCATGTGGGCTTGCAGGTCAGGCTCATTTGAAGACTCTGTCACATGTCACATGAGGCAAGCAGTCAAATTGTCCCATGTCACGCAAAAATGCTCGGCTATGCAAAGGCAATTTCAAATTTCCCTTTTTGGGTAATTGGTATGTTCAGAACTGAAAAACAGCCACCTCCTCATCCAAATTGTGTGTTTTTCTAGCTCGCATTCCACAGCCAACTTGCTTCTCTGTAACCGTGAAGTTGTGATGCGTGTTGATTGGACTTGATGACGTACTTGTTAATGTGGTGACTGTCCTTCATGTCAAGGGTCATGAGTTGGACTTTGGCATCGCCCACAGGATTGTGAGGACTGAAGTTGGTCTGGAGTTCATTGATGAACTCCTGGTAATTATTCATCCAACAAGGACGAAGTAAGGAATTTTGGTCGAACAGTAGGTCCGGCTCATCAAGAGCCATCCCCTTGAGGTAAGACTGCACGAAGATAACCTTGGTGCAATCACTAGCAAAAGCAAGGGGGCGGTCCTGGAAATTCAGTTCGCACTGGACCAGGAATACTCGGAGTTCACAGGGGTCTTTTCTGTTGAACTGTTCAGGCTCACAGACCTTGGTTCGGAGAGCGGAGGATGGTGGAGGAGGTGGTCAACTGGTGTGACAAGCCAAGCTGGTGATGGCCTGGGCTAGCTGTGTAATAGCTACATTGGGGATGGGCTTGGCATTGTTGGTGACTGGAACAGTAGGGATAGGAGGATCATCAGGGGGAGGGTTGACGAAATTGGGGACCTCGGAGCCGAGTCCAAAGAAGTGGACTGGATCTATGGGTTGTTCAGTGGTGTCTCCGAAGTCGGAATCTGCAACTGGTGATCGATTTCTAACAGGGCGCTGTAGGAGAAATAATATTCAAAGAATAAAACAATGATCTATCAGAATAGTCAACGAACAGGTGACAAGTTCAGACGTTTAACAGATCTCATGATCTTTATGAGACTGGACAGACATTAGAAGATCATTATAAAATATCTACACCCATGTAGTATGAGATTTAATCTACTACAATCATGCCTAGAACTTGACATAGGTGTAATATTCAAAGAATATATCCCTACAACAGGAAAATAGCACATAGACGGCAGAATAAGAAGGAACATTGGGAAAGAAATGTAAATATCTCGGGAACCAGTAAACTTTTGACTGTAATCTTTTTACCATCTGGAAGGACTGTTTCTTAACTTTATCCACGGTTTTGTTTCATTCTAAAAGCTTCAAAACTGACGGAGATATCGCTCAAACGGCGAAACACCTTATAATTCATATATATTTATTTGCTAATTCTTACAAAAGGTAATGTGACTCAAGGGAAATATATTGGCGCCCGGAAGTCTGGCGGACCGAATACCATATGATAGAGTATTCCCCGGCGCGGGCGGACAGTTTTTGATCGCATCAGAAGAGGAGAAAATGCTAAAAAACCGGATCTTGTATATTTTCCCATGATTCATCAAAACTTTTTGATTTTAAGCCCAAATAAATCGGAACAAAGGAATGATTGATGATCTGGATCTCGGATCATAAGCATGAAGTGATTCAGAAGTCCGCGGATCAGTTAATTAATTGGGAAGGCTCTAGAACATTAGTAATGATGTGGCTTCACAAAAAGGGGTCAATTAGAGAACAGTCTAGAAAGTTCCTTTATAGCCGAGTCATTTCTAAAGATAACCGTTCGTAATTAAGGCGGTGTAGAGCATAGCTTCAGCGCTACAAGATCCCGCTGAGATCGGCCCAAAAGACAAAGAAATGAATTACTTATTGCTGAGTCATGTCCTAAGTCCATTATTAAGCTTACACAGCCCAACCCCCTATATCATTCTAGAACTATCTATAATACAAATGTAGCACATGTAACTAGTGCGAGGCGTGGGAGTAGAGAGGCCTCTGAAAAGCATAAAAGGCCACCGCTTCTGCCCCCTCTCAAACCTCAGGTAGAAATAAAAGTTTAATTCTCCTCACCAGTGGTTGGTTCGTTTGCTCCAAAAGATAAAAGCAAATATTAGTTGTTAGCTAATATAAAACTAACACGTCACTCTAAGCGTGAGTTAGGGTCAGTTAGACACAGCTGAACAAAAGTGTCATAGTGAGAATTAGTGAGAATTTGGTGGAGGGACTTCTTAATTGAATAATCTCTCAGCAATACTTGGTTATCACACCACAGGAGAAAAGTGAGCGATCCTGAACCTGCTAGATAACTAGCACGCACTCTAAGCGATAGAAAGAGCAGTTTGGTCACTCCTGTATTGAGTAACATTTATTGCGGAATTATTTTATTAGCAGTTTTCCTTCAGTAAATTATCAGGAAAATCACATCCTACTGAAAAGTGGTAAATATAGGTGTAATATTGACTAGAAATCATAGTAAAGTCAATATAGAATTTTATCCGTAGACGATCTATACATCAGGTGAGATCGTTGGGGGGTGTTTATTGTTGTTTAGACAGTGAACAATCATATATTTGGCAACCAAAACACGGTCAGTACGCAAATCAGCACAAACTCTAATATCGTTATTGGACGTAGGAAACTGGTTACATAAGGTGATCCAGCTCCGCTCCTTCAGCGCATGATCGGAGTTGACAGGAGAGGGGTTTCTAAATTAGAGAAGCTTCGGAACTCAACTGGGTTTCTCGCCAGATGACTAGGACCAGGCTGCAAGGGTTCAGGAGACGGGGAGGCTGAGTTAGGAACCAATGTACATAGTTGTGAACGAGTGCAGGGAACTTTGGGTGCCATACAAGACATGTACTGTCAGGGAGTGATAAAATACTGTCAGAGACCAGATGCCGGACAAGGGAGACGTCCCCATGGCAGAGGGCTTCAGCCTCAGTGACTTAGACCAAGAGCGCTGTGCCTAGTTACATGTCCGTGCCCTAATTTACTAACTGGCAGCGAGAACTAAAGGGGGATTACTCTAGTCGATTTTATCACTAGGGTGTAACCTATCTACAAGTTATGTATATATAGTTACATAGAGGGTGGGCCCATGAATTGCAGGGCCAAGCAGAGCGGAGCTAATGGAGTTACATGTTAGCTGACTGAATATTACTGATGAGTTGGGTTACAGGGTTAGCGGAGTGGTGGGCTATAACCCAGAAACAGAAAGGAGGGATCAGCCCGAAGGTAGGCTTGCAGGGAAAGCAACTAAGTTGCCCAGCGGAGGTGGGAGTGCGCTAGCAGACGTTGGAGCTGTCTGGAGACCTTTGGGGCTCCATACTTAGGGAGGTGTAGGTAATATATTGAATTGGGGAGGTGGTGACCATCGGGGGAGTCGGAGGTGGTTGCGGAAACCGGAGGCTCCGAGGTTAGTGACAAAGGAGTGGAGGGAATCCGGAGGACCGGAGGTGGTTGAGGATGATGGCCATGGATGGATATGATAGTGCACAGAGTGGTGTAGGTTGGGTATTATTCCAAAGAATGGAGGATGGAATAGAAATCCTATAGAATTTGGACCCAGAACATTTAATGATACTGAATCCCATTATTCCCAACCAAAGTTGGAGCTGTATGGAGTATTTTGGGCAGTCAAAGCATGCAGATGATACCTGTGGGGATACCATTTTCAGATTAAGGTGGACATGAGGTCAGTAATTCAAATGGTAAATAACCCACACTTGCCAAATGTGCCCATGACAAGATGGGTATCCTATCTACACTTGTTTAATTTTGAGGTGGAACACATTCCGGCAACTCAACATAAATGTCTGGATGGACTGTCATGAAGAAGACCTTCAGAAGAGGATTCTGAGGAGTCTGATGGGGAAATGGATCAAGATGATGCATTTCCTAGGAACATTAATGCAGGATGGTATTACTACGAAGAACAGGATCTAGTTTTGGAGGAAGCAGATGGGGAATTTTCAGAGGAAGAAGACTATGACATGGATGTAAAAAAACTCGGAACCAGAATATTCATCAAGTGATGAGGAAGAATTAGATTGGGAGAATGAACAGAAATGGATAATACAACAAATTGCAGAGATGGACTCAGGAGAAGAGGAATGTCTACTTGAAAGGTATCTTACTAGTTTGGGGACGGTAACGTTCCATTCCCCCATTCGCCTCAGGCCTCAGATGTCCGTCTAAGTATACACTTGAATTTGCTGTATATTAACGGGGAAATGGTGTACAACCACCACTCTTGGTAATAGAGGACTTAGAGAAATGATGGGATTTATGCAAACAAGCACATGATGAGACAGGACATCGGGGAAGGCTCCCAACTTAGTGGATAGAGTCTGGTGGCCATGGATGTTCACATTTGTGGAATGGTATTGTCAAACATGCCATGAATGCCAGGTTAGATCTAATTATGACAAAAGCTCAATTGGAATAGCAAGGTTTATCTTTGAGGACATAATGTGCTGATTCAGCTGTATCCCACAAATAATTACAGATAATGGATCGGAATTCAAGGACACAGTTCAAACATTAGTGAAGAAATATAATGTTCCAGTGATTCACACCTCCATGGAGAATCCAAGGGCAAATGGAATGTTAGAAGTAGGACATAGGTATTGGTTAGATGCAATTTGGAAGAATTGCAAGGGAAATAGACACAAATTGTCATGACCCAGCATATCCACCACTTCCATCAACATGTCCTAGTACCACTTGGCCCATCCCACCTGCTACCATCATCATCAGCCCATCCACCCGTCCACCTGTCACCCTCATCTGCACTTTCTCCCCATATGTGTACCTTCCAACCAGGGTTGCCCATTCGAGTGGTTCATTGTTGTCCACCCACCAGCCGGACAGCTTGCTAGATGGCCGGATGGCCTTTTCTCTCTTTTGTTCGCTTGCAGACTATTGTTCTCCCTTTGCCACTCCTTGTTTCCTTATTTCCTTTTGTTGGCAAGGTTTGCCGATATTAACCATTTGTCTATTTCTTCATTCATTAATATCGTGCTTGATCTGCCACTCTTTCCAGGCCAGTCCTATTTAGTTAGTTGTGCTTATAATGCATGTAGGTTACACTGGATGTACCTCAGTTCGTATATCGACTTGGATTTCCCCCCTAGTCTCTTCTCTTTGTTGTAAGGCTTCTGTCTGAAATTGGGACACCAACGTAAGAACGAAGTGCAGCGCTCCACCTGAGTTGCTGAAGCTGAAGTCCCACCCCTCTGACCTTATGAGCCCAGATGACTTTGCGCATCCTTGCAGATCACCTGGATATGCATTCGACACGTTCCTGACACAAATGGTCCAAATGGTTTTACTATGCTATGTGGATAGAGTGATGGTGTGGAAAGCTATAGGATTTTCACCATATTATTTACTATATGGCCAAGCACCTCTATTCCCCTTTGATATTTCCGAAAGAACATGGCATACATTGGACTGGCATAAAGTGGAATCTACAATGGATCTACTAACACTAAGAATGGCTCAATTGAAAGAAAGGGATGACAATATAGACCAAGCATCAAAGGATCTAGAAGCCCAACAGCAGAAAAATGTGCAAGCATTATGGGACAAATATGGAAAACCTCAATATAAAAATCCAATCAAACCCGGCACTATGGTATTAGTATATAAGAATTTCCTAGATAATAAACAAGGAAACAAAGGAGCACTGAGATGGTTTGGGCTGTATTACGTGGTAGAAAGCTGACCATCTGGGGCATATGTCTTAGCAGAGTTGGATGGAACGGTATTATCCACATCAGCAAACTTGGTAGGGAGCTCTCAGAGCTCTGTGAGCAAATTGAGTCTTTTTGCTGTGCACCCTCTACACATTGGGTGGAGAAAATTAAATGTTTGAATGATTTTATTCTCCTAAGGATGCAGGAGTGCAAAGATAATATGTATATACATTTTTGGAAATGCATATTAAATGACCAGTATCATTACTTGAAATGCTCTATGAGCTCTATGAGCTCATAGAGCTTTTTGTTTTTAAATCATGGATGGTCTTCATATCTCCATGAAATCTGCTTAGTTATTTTGGCACCAGTAGTGCAAAGATAATATGGATATATATGTGTGTAAAATGGCCATTGTCATTGCTCTGAAAGCTCTATGAGCTCTATGAGCTCAGTGGGCTCATAGAGCTCATATACCTTTTGTGTTTACTAAAATCAGCACCTTATTTTTTTATTGCTATTTACAAAATTTGAGGAAAACTCTGAAATTCAAAAATTTGCACTTTATCTTTCATCTCATTTCTTGCTCAAAACTCAACCAATTCTGATGATTCTATGTGAATTGGAAAGCACCAAAGTGTGGCAATGTAACCATGCATGTTATGTAGGGTACATATAAATCAGTTTTAACAAAGTGTTCCAAATGAAGTAAATTGAAAATACCACCCAATAAAGCAAACAAAAAGCTGATGTATTCTTCAGATATCATCCAAGCCTTTGACACCAAATTTCCCATGGTCAAAAAGCCATGGTTATTTGGCTCACTGTCAGGGCCCAGCCCTCATTCCGTGACAGGCCTAGGGGGATCCTCCTAGTCACTGGGGTATCTAGTCCCAGTCCAAGATCCTCAAACTCACTGAGGGGGCTAGCCCCAGCCTTCACAGGAAATGAGTTGAGAAGAAGGGTAACCTTCTCAACCTCCTGTGAAGCCACTACAAATGGGAGCCAGGAACTATACAGTTTTCAGCTCTTTGCCGACTTTCCATAAATGGCACCCCCCATGGGAAGATTCTGGGCAAGCTGCTCACCCAGAAAGTTCCCACAGTTGTGGCTGTGATGGTTTCTGGGTGAGTAACTTGCCCAGAACTTTCCCATGGGTCTGCATGTGTGCGGGATTGTGGAATAGTGAGGGGCTGTGCCCTGACACTCACCAAAACATGGTGGGAGACTTTTCTAACACTGAAACATACATTGCTACATTGCCCCACTTTGGCACTTTCCAATGCACATTGAATTATCAAAAAAGTGAATTAATTTTTTTTCCAATTATTTCTAATTTCCTGAAATATCTCTCCCTAACTTATCCCAAAATTTCTGATTTTCCCCCTGATTTTTTGGACATTCTCCTTTTTTAGAAAGTCCCCCATTTTCTGAATTTTCCTTAATTTTCCCTGACTTTTTTTCAAGTTTTTAGAAACCCCCCAGTTCCCCCTCATTTTCCTCCCATTTTCCCCTTCATCCCCCCCTTCAATTTTCCCTTCATTTCCCCCCTCAATTTCCTCCCATTTCCTCCCTCATTTCCTCCCCCCTCATTCCCCCCTCAATTCCCCCCCCCTTATTCCCCCCAATTCCCTCCTCAATTCCCCCCCATCCCCCCTTCAATTTTCCCCTCATTTCCCCCTCATTGCCCCCTCCAAATGTCACCCCATTCCCCCCTCCATTTTCCCCTCATTTCCCCCCTTCAATTTTCCCCTCATTTCCCCCTCATTGCCCCCTCCAAATGTCACCCCATTCCCCCCTCCATTTTCCCCTCATTTTCCCCCTCATTTCCCCCCTTCAATTTTCCCCTCATTCCCCCCCAATTCCCCCCCATTCCCCCCCATTTCCCCACTCATTTTCCCACTCATTTTCCCGCATTTTCCCTAAGTAATTTCAGATTAACTGCATTTATATCCCTAAATTTGGTCCATATATTGATTGGGCTACAACCCTTGGTGTGTGGTGCCTCATTGGTGCTGAAAGTTAAGCTGAGTTTATTCAGTCCCTTGTATGGTAGGGACTTGGCTATGGCTAGTCACATGATGCCATAGTCTGTCATATCCCGGAATCCCGACCCCGTGCACTCCCACCACATCACACCTTCCTAACAACTTCACCATCCCCTACACCATGCCTCCCCACTCTCTAAGTCACCTTCCCTCCTGACTGTCTCAGCTCCCGTCTGGTTGCGGCACACCGAACCTTGGCCACTCCCATCCCGGAACCTCGGTCCCGAGTCGGAACATTCGGAGACCCCGGATTTGCTCCGATACCCCAACGGACCTCCGATATCCCGTGACATGCCCTTAAACCCTTCCTCCACCCATTTCATTTATTTGAGTCACCTAACATCCTTCGGATACGCAACTCCGCTTTCGGAGCTACCCGCATCCTTCGGTGATTTCCCTCACGTTATCATTTATTAGTCACCTTCCATTCTTAGCACGACTACCTTTTTACTACCATCCAGTCAGCTAACCCCCTTTGTCCATTTGTCTTCCACATTCATTTTCCAGCCTTCAACTCCGCCCTCCTTGGCCCGACACCTCGGTTCCCCATTCTAATATTGTTCAGGACCTTTCGTTACCTTTCGGTACCTCTCGGTATCATTCGGTACCTTTCAGTGTTTTCCCATTTGTCGGTTCGGACTTTGACTAAAGTCCTCCCCATCCTCCTTTTAAATACACGTAGATTAGAACCTGTAGTTCCTCAGTTCTAATCTCGACTAAAATGCCACCCAAAGTCCCTCTGAGTGATTCCCATCCCCATTCTACAAGACACCTCAGACATAAGAAATACAAGGACTAACTGAGACGTAACGGAGGCACAGCGCTCCCTCCGAGTCGCTGAGGCCGCATCCTTCTTAGAGCCTCTTGTACCATCCAGCAGAACCGGGCTCCCTGAGAAGCTTCGGTTCACTACCGGAGCCCTCGGACCCCCCTCTAGTTGAGCCCCGCCTGCATTCGGACTCACGCATTTATCCCCTCTTCCACAACCCGGGTTTTTAACATAGTCAATGCTTTTAAATTTAAATTTAAAATTTTTGGTGGAACCCCAGCAGCTTTTGCGATACATAGGCATGTATTGGGGTTTGTGTAGGGAGGCAGGCCAGTTAGCCACCATGGGGAAATGTGTTACACACTAGCCGGTTATCGGCATCATGTGGGGCTCCTGGCCCCGGTCATGGGGGGTCCGGTATACCCACTAAAACCCCGGGGCTGTTAAGCCAGTTGTCTGGCAGCCTCTCTTCTTCATGTAGGTTTCCGCTCCAGGTGAGCAAGACTAGTTTGGCCAGCAGGGCCTTATGCCTGTATTTCTTACGGTTGGTTAGGGCAATGTCCTGTTGGAGTTTGTCGTTGAGGGCGGCACAGATGGCATTTTTTATTTCTCTTAGTGTAGTTTGTGGGTGGTCAGGGTCGATGACTCTCCAGCATCTGGCCTTCCAGATTTGCCATGTGCATTCTAGCATTATGATGCAGAACAGTCTAGTTTCACCTTTCCTTGGGTTGCCATTGTTATTTTTTATCATAATACTCGGGGCCACCATCACATGTGAGGTGTTGAAGGCTGGGGGCCATGTGACTTTTCTTCAGTTGCAGATTTCCTTGGCAGTGGACCACACCCAGTCGCTATGGTTGAGGGGGCACTCAAATAGGATGTGAGTGATTGTTTCTGTTTGCTGGCATTGGGCACACATTCCACGGTGCTCAAAACCCGGGATTTTTTCCCAGAATTTGCTGATCTTGAGGCAGCCGTGGGTCAGCTTCCATAGGAAGTTTCAAATCTCGGGTGAGATTTCCTTGCAACTATTCTCCAGGTTTTTCCAGATTCTGTCGTGGGAGGGGGGGTCATTGCCCATGTTCTCCAGGGCTGATTGGATTTTGGTGATATTGTTGATCATTATTGTTCTTTGGGTGAGTTTGTGGGGGGTGGAGGGGTCACAGGAGGGAGGGGTTCTGGGTCCAGTTGCACTCCTATTGCAGCAAGGCAGTCTGCCTCTTCATTTCCGAGGATCCCTGTATGGCCTTTCAACCACTCAAATGAGGTGGGGGTGGGTCTGGATCTCAGTGTGCTTACGGTCAGTTTAGTAATATAACTGTTTTTTGTGAATGCGTAGTCTGAATTCTTGAGGGATTCAAGGTTGCTGCAAAGGGTGTTTATGCACCATTTCAAGTCGGATTTGATGTGGAGGTTGGATGATAAGGGTACAAAGGTGGCGGCATGGTGAATGGTGAGCATTTCTGCTGTGTTGTTGGTTTGTGGGTAGCGGGGATTGACTCTTTTGCTAGTGTTCCGGGGGTCATCTGGGCCAAACCATAGACCAAAGCCAGCCATTGTGTTTGTGTCACCATTTTGGGAGCAGGACCCGTCTGTGTACACTACTTCGTTGTGAGGTTGTTGGGATTGAGAAGTGGCGTTATCACAGGTCGCTGGGGGAGTTCTGCCAAATACCCTGTAATGGTGATCAAGCAGGGTGCAGAGCCGGGGGGAAGGGAGAAAGGTCTTGATGTCCTTTGGGTTCCTGATAGTGAATTGTTTAACTGGTTCCTTGGGGTGGGGTGGAAGGGTGAGAAGGTGCGTGTCAGTGGGTTATAGTGAGGGTTGAGGTTAGTGATTATTTTCGTCACAGTTTGGTAGCAGGCTTCCGGGTTTTTGCAGCCTGCCTGTCGGTAGGACGTGCAGGGGGGGCATGGACACTTTCTTTTAGCAGGGTCGTGGTCCAGATTTTCTTGGTGGTCTACTTGGGCGATTAGGTCGCTGACACGATTACAACTGTGGGTTGCTCTCAGGCAGGATGCTGTTTTGGAGTGGTCGCTGATTGGAGGGTAATTTTCTAGGCCTGGGTGGGCCCAGGCCGAAAGGTCGAGCTTGGTGGCAAGGTCGATTGTCAGGTGTTCTAGTCTGAGGTTGTATTTGGCTCCAACATTTAGGGTATTACAGAGTTTGGCTGGGATATTCTTGTTGTGGGTCCGGGCGTTGAGGAAGGGCT